ACAGTGCCTAAAGCCTGGGATATGGACACACAGTGTGACTGAACACGCTCTGGTCTCACCTGTTGAGTCAGTGCAGTGAGTCTTTAGGCTTAGTGGGTCTCATCACTCCAAGGCCCCTTTCCACTCTAAAACTCTGTGATGTTTCCACGTACAACGCATATCAATAGTTAATTTTAGTGTCTTGGTACAAAATACAAAGAGAAATGGAGTCTGGTGGATTGGCTGATGGAACTACGGACAGGGTAAGCCATCCTTGGGCTTGCTGCACATGTCTAGTCCTCATCCTCGGCTGCCACGGAGAAGAGCTACCTGAATGGACGGTCTGATTTGGACATTCTACCTCGGTTCTTATTTCAACGACTTCTCCAGGGTTTCAAATACTTTTTAAAAACAGGAATTATGACAAGTGAGACTGAATTTATCACCGCTGGCAATTTTGATTGGCAATTGAGAGTCTCTTGAGAGTCTCTGTATAAATACGGGGTATTCTATTTCCTATTAATGGTTATCACAAGATACCCTGATTCATTGTCACAGAAACTTAATTTCTAGTTGCATCACCTTCTGACACAATTCTCTCCCAAACGATGCTTTAAACATGAAGTCATGCCATCATCTAAGCCACTCATACTCCGATAAGATGTTAAATGCCAGCTTGTTTTCCCTTCCTACTTCCTGAAGTAAAAGAATGCCTGGAAGAGCAGAGCACCATGCATCATCTCACACCCTGCTTCCTGCCTGCATTTCTGCTGCTTCTGCTGCGTCCTGACCTGGAGCCAGGCAGATGCGGGGGCAGCAAAAGCACTCCTATCTAGGTCTTGGGCTGCAATGAAGCTCATTTATTTGGCATCATTTCACCCCATCCCAGAGAATATATTTACTCTATTGGGGGTTCTGGGAGGCCTGGGTGGAGATGGGGGTGTAGCTTTGAGTCAGGAGACCAGAATTGTAGCAGAGAGGCCAGCACTAACTAGTTGTCTAATCCTTAACAAGTTGCTTTGTCTTCCCAGACTCATTTTTCTCATCTGTCAAGTCAAATGAAGGTTATGGAATAGATGATCACTAAACACCCTTCCAGCTCTCCAGTTCCATTCTGGGTCGGTCTGTCTGCACCTGCACACATTGATGTGAGGGCAGGAAGGGAACCGCTGAGGGCAGCAAATGCAGTCAGGAGAATAAACCCCTTTCACCTGGAGCAGCCCTGTGTCCTCATGTGTGCTGGGCAGTTGAGGCTTGTCTCAGATTATCCAAATAATTGACTGAGTTCTCTCCTTTCTTTGCCAGTGGACACACAGCTTTAGTTTTTTTTTTTTTTTGAGCGGCAGCTGCTTTTCTGAAATTTCCGTCCCAGGGCTTCCGTCCTCCACTGTGTCCTCTCAGAAACCTGTCATGGTTTTTTTCTGGATGGATGCCCACAGAATTTTAATCCAGCCACAAAAAAAAAAAAAAAAAAAAGGAGGAGGAGGAGACTATGTATAACAAGAAACAGGCAAGTTTGATGGTGTTTTAAATGTAATTTGGCTACTCCAAGGGTTCACAGCCTGGAGGGGCACTGGTCACCTGCAATATTTGAGCTGTAAGCTGAGTGAACTCTCGGGGCTTTGAAGAGGTCGACAAGCATTTTAGGGACCACCCCGGTTCCAGCCCCTCAGAAAATATTCGCTTAATTGAATTAGAGATTTGCCTGGAACATCCCACTTCCAGGCCCTTCTCAATCCGCACTTGCATTTCCAGTCAGTGGGTGTTTGGGGGCTGAGGAGGGGGCTTCCCGCCTCGCAGGGACCAGGAAGAATTCCCCCAGTTTTCTGAGGTCTCTAGTTCTAAGTGCCCTCGGGGTGGGAAGGAGGGGGAGGCAGCTAGAAAGGCAGGGTTCTGGGCACTGCTGTGAAACACTGGGTCAGGAATTCCTTTTTCCACATCTCAAGCTAGCTTAATGGAGGAGGATGACAAACTGCTTGCCATTGGCAGTAAATCGCATTACAGGAAACAAAAAATCTCACCTCTCCCTGTCTCCTCCGACGCCTGCTGCTTGAGACTCCCGGCCTTAACATTCAGTGCGTCGCTCTGCGTCTCTTCCATCCACACCTGCAGGTTTGGACAACTCAAAGCATGGCAGGGTTTGGGCTTGGGAAGAGGGCGGGGCCCTGTGAAATTGGCGAAGGTGAACTTCAAACGCTACCTTGAGCGACTGTGCCACCCGGACAAGCTGTGACCCTCACTGAGCCGCCAGTCTGTCATGCATAAATCCGGCCATTACTACCTCCCCGACACAGGATTTTAGGATGAAGAGAGTTTACGCAGACGTTAAGAAACGGCTGTTCCTACTTAAAAAGTTATCCTTCTGGTCCCTCCCAAGGCGGGGGTGGGGGCAGGGATGCCCCACACACACACCTTTCAGGGGTTCGCTGCCCAAGGACAGCGGTTTTCTCCTTGGCTGACCCCAAGCTCTCGCTCGGCCAGAAGGAACTGGTGAGCTGGGCCAACGCTGCTTCTTCCCAGGCTCCCCTCCGGGAGCCGGGCCCAGCGCCACAGGTGTTCTCGCAGGCTTGGCTGGCGGCTGGGGCCTACACAGAGGAGACTCTGGAGCCGCGGAGTCGGGGGCGGCGGGAGGGAGACCCCAAACCATCCCGGGGTGGTCTCGTTTCGGCTGAGACTGGGTCTGGGGCTCCCCTCGGCCCTCAGGGGTCCGGAGGCCCGTCAGGACTGCCGGCCGGCTTGCCGGTCAGGACTGCCGCTCCGCCGCCGGCTGAGGGCGCGGGGATTCGGGGACCCCTTCCCCACCAGCCCGCACCCCGCCTCCGGCCTAGCTCTGCCCAGGAAGCACGGGCCCCGCCGCGCCAGGACTCCCAGCCCCAGGTCCCGGCGGCGCCTCCGACCGCTGGGGTCGCGTGGGAGTGCAGCCCTGGGGGCCTCGAGGCGCCACTTGGGCGCTGGAGCATCGCGGGGAGTAACCAGAGTTGGGCGGATTTTTCCAAATCCCACTTTGCGGCTTCCGACCGAAGCAGGGAGGCCGCAGCGACCCCGCCCCGTCCTGTCTCCCGGGCCGGGCGACCCCCGCGCCGAGCTGAGGCCCAGCGGGCCATCTGAGGTCCCCGTGGGCGTCGGCGGCCGGGAACCAGGCACCACGCATCCGCCGAGGACCCTGGAGAGCCGCGCGCGACGGTCCCTGGCCTCCTCCTCTCCCCGCTTCCTTCCCTCCGTTCAGATAAAGTCAAAGCCCCGCGTCCGCCAGCGGGGACAGGGATGCCCTCCCGAGGAGCCGCGGGGACGGCGCGGTAGACCCGGCCGGCGAGACGCCGAGGGGCGCGCCTTGCCGGCGGCCACAGCCCCTCGGGGCCCCGCCACACACACACACACACACACACACACACACACACACACACACACACGCACACACACCCTCCTGCCCCGACCCTCCCCCGCTCGCCGCGCCCCTCCCCCCCGCCCCAGTCCTGGAATTGTGTGGAAAAATTCTCAGCCAAGCCTCCCACCTCTCCCCACCCACCCACCCCCTTTTAAAAGCCCCCTCGGCTCGCCGGCCCCTGCACTCTGTGTGAATGAGGGCAGGGAACGCGGCCCTTCCCCCGCCCAGGAGCCACGCCAGAGCGCCGCACTCAGAGGACTGTTTGTTAATAGTCCAATTAGATAATTGCCATCTTTCACTCCTTTTGCTCCGCATTTCCCATAAAGGAATGAATGGGGAGAGCGGCGTGGAGAGGGCTTCTGCCCCGGCAAGGTGACGAGAAGGGCCGAAGCATGCTCCCTGCACAAGGCCTTGCGCTTGAATTGAATCATTGTAGCCTAATCAATGCTCTTATTGGATTACTGGCTGTTGCTTTTCTCAAAGATATTGTAGCAGAGACAATGAAATAGCTGGGGGAAAACTTTTTTTTTTTTTTTTGAAGCAGATCTCACAGTTGAGGTTTTCTGGGCTCGCTCTCGCTCTCTCTCTCTCTCTCTTCTTTCTCCTGCTGGACTCTCAACACAAAGCTGCCCTTTGAATGGGCTGCTGGAGGTGCAGGCACGACAAATTCCAACTGGACCGAAAGCGGGCGAGGTGGCAGTTTAAGATGGCTGTCAGCCGCGAGGTGTGTTGAGGAGTTGTTTGGGGACCAGGCTTGGCTTTGGGGGGGTGTCGTGGGAGGGAGACACTCGTGGGGGCAAAACTTTCTCCCCTCGCCACCCCTCCTCCTCTCCTCAGCCCGCCAGCCCCGGGCTGCCCGGCCTGAGGCGATTTGCCTTCCTCCCTCCCTCCTCCCCCTCGTCATTCAGCTCCCTCAGGCGAGCGCGGATAAACCCCCTCTAGCCAGTCTGTGAGCGGGCGGGTCAAAGGCAAGGGGAAAGTTAATAATGCCCGCTAATGGTACTAACAATTCAGGGATGAATCTTGTCAAAAGTTTTTCTGGAAGTGTGGGTCTTTGATTGTGTGTTTCCTGAAAGCAAGACCAATCATTTCCGTTGATTCACTGGCTAAACCCCTACTTGATTGGGGACAAGGACAGAAACCATCCATTACGATCTGATATATTATCCAAACAATTTAGTGTATTCATGAGGTAACCGAAACGCGCGGGGGCTGCGAAATTACCCGTAATCAATTGCAGCGGCGAGTGTGCGTCCCCCGGGTGTCGGACAACTGCGCCTCGCCCGCCGTCTCAGTGACGGGCGGGAGCCGCCGCCGCGCCGAGGAGCTGCGCTCTTCGCTCGCTACCTGATCGTCGGGCTGGGGACCCTGGACGTGCTCGGAGGACGCGGGCGCAGAGCAGGCGGGCGCTGACCAGGCGGGCGCCGAGCAGGCGGGCGCGCCGCGCGGCTCCGCCGGGCTCCGGGACCACGCCGGCCGCGCCCGGGCCAGCGCGCCACTCTCCCACCGCTCGCCGGGCCGGCCTCGGAGGCTGCGGCTGCCCGGGTTTTGTCCTCCTTTGGCCTCTGTTTGCCTCTCCCTCCTCCTGCCCCTCGTTTTGTCCCCCCCCCCCTTTTTTTGGTGGTTGTTCTCGCCTATGTTTGGGAAGCCAGACAAAATGGACGTTCGGTGCCACTCGGACGCCGAGGCTGCTCGGGTCTCCAAGAGCGCACACAAGGAGAGCCGTGAGAGCAAGGGTGCCGAGGGGAACCTCCCCGCCGCTTTCCTCAAGGAACCGCAGGGCGCCTTCCCGGCGTCCGGCCCCGCCGAAGATTGCAACAAAAGTAAATCCAACTCGGCCGCCGACCCGGATTACTGCCGCCGGATCCTGGTCCGAGGTAGGGCTGGCCGGGGGCTGCAGCGCGCCTTCTTGGCGGGGCGACTCCGGGACCTGAGTCGCGTGCGCCGCTGCCGCCGACCCTGGCCCGGCAGTCCGGGGGTGGCGGCTGGGACTTCGGAGAAAGTTGCGGGTCCGCACCGCCCGGGGTCCAGCCGGCGTGCGCTCTCCAGAGGCCGCGGCTAGGAGTCCCGAGGGGCCCAGGTGGCCAGGCGATGCGGACGGGGCCCGGCACCAGGCTGCGGTCTCTGACCGGAGAGGGCAACGAAAGAGTCGGGGAGGACCTGTGCGTGTGTCCCGTGGGCTGGAGGACCTACCGGGAGGCGGCTGGGGGCTGGCGGGTGGAGCGCACCCACGGGGAGCGCGGGAGCCGGAGGACGGTCAGCGGCCGCCCGCTACTGCCCGGCCGGTTGGCGCGTTGAGCCGAACCTGCCCGCTGCCGCTGGGAGCAAGCAGCCGCCCGGCTGGGTTGCGGGGCTGCGGATACCGCCTCCGGTGCTTGGCTTGGCCTCACTGTGTAGGCTTAGCCCCGGCAGCTGCTGCAGGCAGTAGCCCGGCCCCGCTCGGGCGCCGCCCCCGCCAGCAGATCGCCGGGCCCCAGGCCCTGACTTTGTCCCTCCTCCTTCCGCTGCCGGGGTTCTGGAGGGAAGAGAGGTGGGGAGGCCGTTGGGGCGCAGTCGGGTCGACATGGCCCCGAGCTGGGGCCTGCAGGACCTGGGCGGTCAGTGAGGACACCTTCAAGCTGCAGAGGCCCTGGGCCACGCAGCTGAGGCCCCGAGGCCAGAGGGACCACGGACCCATTGGGACTGAATTTTCCCTTTCGCTTATCTGGTGTTGGGGGCGGGGGTAACTACAAAATCTGGTCCCTCCTCCGGCGGGCCTAGTGTAGTTGGCCCCGTTGTTCCCATCCACACGCAGCCAGTGCTGCCTGGCTGTGACTGCACCCTCCGCCGGCCGCTGGAGATGTCCCCGTATCCAGCTGAGACCAAGGGAGGTTGCAAGGACACAGGAGGGTGCTGGTGGCTGATGTCTCCCCTTCTCCAGATGCCAAGGGGTCTATCCGAGAGATCATCCTGCCCAAGGGCCTAGATCTGGACCGGCCCAAGAGGACTCGCACGTCCTTCACGGCGGAGCAGCTCTACCGGCTGGAGATGGAGTTCCAGCGCTGCCAGTACGTGGTGGGCCGCGAGAGGACCGAGCTCGCCCGGCAGCTCAACCTCTCCGAGACCCAGGTACCAGCCCCAGGCTGCCCCAGCTGGGCTCCAGCCTCCCTCCTCCACAAGGCCCCTAACCTGGCCCTGGACAGAGCCATGCAGGGGAGGGTGGACATGGGGAGGGTGGGCAAGAAAGGCCAAAGTGCCCCCTCTGACACTTTGGCCTGTCCCCCAGTCTTAAGAATTGTTTGCCTGCTTCTGCTTTATAGAGAAGGGGCGTGATTGGCACCCTGTTTTGTCATGCCTTCAGTCCCTAGGGCTTTGGGGGCACTCAGCACTTTCTGCAGGAGGTAGAACTTGCCCTCATCCCTCTAGCAGATATGCCTCTGCCGATCTGGTTGCCTGGGCCCTTGAAAAAGGCTTGCCTTGGTCCTGAGCTGGCCCCAGCCCCAAACAACACTCTCAGCACTGCGAAGCCCTGTCTGCTGTGCCAAGCATGTGAGGGGTCCCCGAGCTTGCACTGAATCCCCTAGTGCTGCCCCAAGAGCTGGCCCTTTGGGCTCTGGGCCCAGGGTCCCTATGGGGTGAGAGCTTTGGCCCCATGGAAGCCTGTTGGGGCCTGGCCAGGGCAGGCCACACGCATTCTGTGGGTGAAGCAGCCTTCTTTCTAAGGACCAGGCCTTTTGCTTGTGTCCAGCCCTGAAGAGGGCTCTGGGCTCTGGGCTGGTAGCTGAAGGCGAGGACAGGACAGCTGGGATGTACTTTTGATGTCTGAATCAGCACAGGAGCTTCTCTTATTTTCTCTGCATGCCACCCTCTTAGTTTACAAAAGCTTGGTGAGGCTAGCCTCCCCAAACAGCGGCCACCCCACCCCCCATCCTAGGGCCACCTCCAGGCCTGGAGGGGCCCAGACAGAAGAGGCCAGACTGCCTGGGGGGGCTTGCGACAGAGTAGTGCCCCCACAGCAGGATTGTGAAGTTCAGGCTGAGGAGCGATGGCAGGGTAAGGCAGTGTCTCTGACACTCGCAGTCCAGGGGCCTGAGAGCGGGTGAAGAAAGCCAACGAGGCCTTACAAAGCCATTTGTCCACGTAACATTGTCGGTCAGTTCCACCCGGGTGTTTTCTTCTGCAGCCAGCCTCCCTGCCTGCTTCTAGGTGCTGTCTGCACCTTTTCAGCGGTCCCTGGGAGTCTCCGGCAGGAATAAGCGCTTGTGCAACTAAATCGCCTAGGGCCTGGGCCTGGGCAGGCTCCCTGGTGCCTCCTGGCCCTTCCCCAAGCCTCACACCCTCTGCCTGACTGGGCCAACAGGATCTTGGAGTTCCAAACCCAGCAAGGCAAGCCAGTAAAATCTCTTCTAGCTTTTTAAAGAGTTGGGATCCTGGGTATTTTTTTTTTATTTAGCTTCTTGTAACCGGCCTCGGCCCAGGCCGGTGTCCGTGACCCTAGCTCAGGTCAGTGGAGTAGTGTCCCCCTCTTGGGGACAGGACTGCCCCAAATGCGGGCAAGGGGAAGGTCCCCAGAGCCCCGTGCTCCGGGAGCCCGCTCCCCTTGACATCCCTGCCCCTCTCTCCCACCCTGTCCGTGCCCCCCGCGCGCAGGTGAAGGTCTGGTTCCAGAACCGGCGCACCAAGCAGAAGAAGGACCAGGGCAAGGACTCGGAGCTGCGCTCGGTGGTGTCGGAGACAGCGGCCACGTGCAGCGTGCTGCGGCTGCTGGAGCAGGGCCGCCTGCTGTCGCCGCCCGGGCTGCCTGCGCTGCTGCCGCCGTGCGCCACCGGCGCTCTGGGCTCCGCGCTGCGCGGACCCAGCCTGCCCGCCCTAGGAGCAGGCGCTGCTGCGGGCTCCGCTGCCGCTGCTGCCGCGGCCGCAGCCCCTGGCCCCGCGGGCGCCGGATCTCAGCACCCGCCCGCCGTGGGCAGCGCTCCAGGCCCCGGGAGCGCCGGACCGGGAGGACTGCACGCGGGAGCGCCGGCTGCCGGCCACGGCCTCTTTAGCCTGCCGGTGCCGTCGCTGCTCGGTTCGGTTGCCAGCCGCCTGTCCTCTGCCCCGTTGACAATGGCTGGATCGCTAGCCGGGAATTTGCAAGAACTCTCCGCCCGGTACCTGAGCTCTTCGGCCTTCGAGCCCTACTCCAGGACCAACAATAAAGAAGGGACCGAGAAAAAAGCACTGGACTGATCCTGACTGTCTCCCCATATTTATATTTATAGTATCTATTGTGGTGATATTTATGGACACGCATTAGGCGCCCGGGGCTCCTGTGCGGGGCTCTCGGCTCCCAGCAGGCCTCCGAAACCTCGCTCTCCTGTTCTCATCAGGCTCTGCTACCGAATCAGTCTCTTTTGGGCCATTTTTATTATTTTTATTATTATTATTATTTTTTACCTTTCCTTCCCTGTCGTCCTCCCCATCCCTCCCATCCCCAAACTTTTTTTTCCTGCAATTCAGGAGCTATCCAAAGAATTCAGGGGAGAAAATGCCTGAATTAGCCAACCCGTTGCCCCCGGCCAGTGCTCAGCCCTGGAGGGCTAAGTGTGGGTTTGCAGTCTAGAGTTCTGGACACCTGCTCCAGCAGCCGCCGCTTCGTCATTCCTGTGAACACTGGAAAGGGGAAAGCTGCACGCAGAACCTCCAGGGTTGAAAACCCTTGCGAGTTTTAGACCAAAAAGAATACTTTCCGAGAAACCAGGATTGTGGAGGAGTGTCTGGACCCCACTCTGCGGTCCCTCGGCATAGCTGGTGTCATTTAGCCTCCCCCTTAGAGCACGCTCCGGAGCCTCCTGCCCTTTAGAGGAAACCAAGAAACCAACTGGAACTCGCAACCAGCCAACAGTGGCAACAAAAGTTGGTGCAATCGGCATTCAGGTAAGAGTTCGCTTAAGATGTGGGATAGCGGCGTGGAACCTGGCTTTACATAACGGAGTTTGCAAAGTGGAAGAAAAGTCAGGATGGAGAACGCGCTCCAGGCGATGCCAGGTTAGAGCCCTAGGTGCTGTGACTTTGAAAAGGAATTTCTAAGGGGGAAAAGCAAAGGAAAAGCCAGCGAGGTTCGTGAAAAAGGATTCCGCATCTTTTCTCCGAGGCTGCTGGAGGCGGTGGCCGACTCCCCCTGGGAGAGCAAAGGCGGCTCCAGGGCCCCGGACCCGCCAGTGCCTCGCCCTGCAGGCTCCCAGAAGCAAGGCTCAGGGCAGAAACGCTGGGTATGGAAAAGAATCAGCATCCGTGGCCTCCTCGCCTAACTCTGGGATTCAGAAAGCACGGAGGGAACGCCTGGGCTTCCGCAGAGGAGGTAGGGGCTCGGCCGGGGGAACAAGAGTCCACGGCCTTCTCTCTGGGTCTCCCTGTGCGGCTGGATAGGACAGGCATCACACCCCACCACCATCCCCACGCCGCTCTCCACGCCCAGAGGCTCGGGGTCCCAAGTCAAAACGTGGACAGCAGCGACTACGGTCTCCACAGCAAACCCGCATTGTAACCAAAACCGCAGAGTCAGACTGCGAGGTGCCGCAGTGTCTGGAATGTATTCCTCCATCCGCAGTGAACGGAAACCATTTTTTTAAAAATAGTAATTTTATTGTAAATTATTTTACGTCAGAAGCTTTTCCCCTCCTTTATCCCACTTCCCGTCCCTCCCTCCATTTTTTTTTTTTTAGGCAAATAGTGAAGAAAAATAATAAATGATTGAAACGCGGGTAGGTGTCACGGAATCCCGGTTACTAACTTTGTTCTGAATGTTTTGGATATTTGGATGTTTTGTATTTATGTGGTGAGAGTGAAATATATATATCTATGATGATCATCGAAGCGTATATTGTCTTAAATTTGAAGACTTTTTAAGGGGTGGGGGAGATAAGAAAAAGAAGACAAGCCCAGCCAATGATGGGGACCCTGGCGGCTAGTTGAGCCCTGCCCTGAGCCCCCAGGGAGGGGCAGTAGCCCCTTCGCCCCGGACCTCTAATTGGTTTACGTAGGAACTTGTCTCAGGACACCCGAAAGCCTCAGCCTACCTGCACCCCCAGTTTCTAGAGCTTTCCAGTCTCCATGCTGAGAGCATTCTGGCTTTTTCTGTAGGGTTAGGTCAGATTTTCTTTTCTTCTTAGAACTGGTTTCTGCGGACAGAACAGGAACTTTGCGGGAGCAAGAGAATGTAACAGGCAGTGGGCCGGGCAGAGGCCGCAGGGCACAGGGCACACCTGTACTTCCAGCAAACAACCGCAGGGAAGCTGCAGAGCGGGGGTGGGGGACCCCTCTGCGTGGCAGGACCCCTCAGTTTCCTTGCGATCCCCGCCCCCACTCAGGTGCTGTGTTTCAACCCCTCCTCGACCTCCTGGAAGCAAGGTGGGTGTTGCGGGGTTTCTCCCCTGAGACTCCCGCAGCTGCCCAGATGGACCGCTGTTGTCTCCCAGTCCGCAGCTTCCTCTCCTTGCTGGCCCTTGCCCTGGCTCCTTCCTTAGGAGACTGGAGCGCCTTTCTCTTTCCTCCCCTTTTGGCCCTGCAAGCTTCCTCCCTAGTGAGCGTTCGCACTCTCTCTCTCTCTCTCTCTCTGACGCGGGCGCGTAAGTGTACCCTCTCTCTCTCTCTCTCTCTCTCTCTCACATCCTTCAGGATTCCTATCCTGCCCGGGTGGTCCCAAGACCAAAGCGGTGGGTGGCTCTGGCTGCTTCAAGGCTGGTGGTTGGGGCCCTCCAGGGGTGAGAAGGGAGGGACAAGGTGGCATAGTTTTAGGGAACAAAAGAAAACACTGAAATCCCAGCTTCAGGGTCTCCGTAAGCTCAGCCTGCACTGCCCCAGGAAGTTACCAAGAGGACCCCTCCTTCCAGCCCCTCCCCCTTCTCCCTCTCTTCTCCCTGGAAGAGCAGCACTAGTCACCCATCACCTCTCAGCTCTCACCTCCCTTCCTTCCCTGTCTTTGGGGAGAGCTACCAAGCTCTTTGCCCGCCACTCAGCCTGTGCGATTGTTCTTAAAGAGCCTCTTCTGCATAGAAAAGAATCACAATTTTAATTTAAAAAAAAAACATTTATAGACAATTCATTTAACTTTAGTTCCTGTCTTGTTTTTCCTCCTTCTCCCAGGGACTCCAAGCAAGGTGCTCTGGGCCCCGGGATGGGGGTGGAGGTTCTGGTGAGGCTGCTGACCTCAATTGGAAACTCATAGACCGGGGAAGAGGTGGGTGGCTGCTGTGACAACAACAGAGAGAAGGTGGAAGGGGATCGTGTCGGGGAGGGGACCTATGGGAAAGGGAAGCTCCTACTCTTGGATGTGCAGAAGTGACGGCGGGGGGGGGGGGGGGGACCTTCCCACTGAGCCTTGTGCTGCCTCTGTTAGGTGGTCAGGATTAAGAAAGATGTGGGAGTCCAGTGGGGATACAGGTTGCTGGCCATGCTCACTGTCATCCTGAGCCTGACCAGAGCGCCATCATCCCAGGGGCGTGGAGCAGCCCTTTAGAGTTAGTAAGTGATCTTTGAGTTAACACCATCCCAGTGTTTCTTGTGGTGGCTTTGGGACACCAACTCCCGTGGTAAAGGTCCTCACGTTGGATTGGAGCGAACGATTTGCTCCAATCAGCACAAGCTCTGAGCTTTCCATGTCTTCTTTCCTTCTCTTCCCTCTTCCTTTCACACCCACAGTATCTGACTCATGGTACCTGAACCCTTTGGCCTCTTGTGTCCACGGTTGCTGATTCTCACTTCCAGCTCTGGGTCTGCCACACTCTTTTTGTTCTGAGACTTGGTAGTACTTGGTGCCTTCATTGAGAGACCTGAACCCTTCCCTCTTCTTGTTTTCATTCCTGTTAGCATCTCAACTCTGTCCCCATATGCCCTTCTGGAATAATGGTTTTAAACTCCCTTATATTCTTGATATTGCACTTCCTTAGATTTTTTTTTTGAGGTATTACATTCAGGTGGTAAATCCCCAGCCAGTGAAGTACACAAAGTTGGTGGATTTTGCATATGCACACACACACACACACATATACACAAGTACACACACTCTTATATTATCCAAGTGAAACGCTTTTCACTTCTCCCCTTGGGCCATCCAGTGGCTCCTGTTTGAAAGTAGAAAGTGTCTCTTTGGTGTGCTGGTGCTGCATAGAAAACCTCTTTCCCACCCTTTGCAACTCAGCCCTGGGTTTCAGTACAATTAAACAGCTGAGCAGAATTAAGAAACTTATTCCATCAAGCCTTCTCAGGATGCAAAGGAACAACATCTACTTGGGGACCACTTGAAGACCATGGTTCAAATGTGGAGTCCTGAGCCTCAGCCCTACCCGAAGAATCAGAAACTCCAAGGCTGGAGCCCCGAATGTGTCTTTTTAGCAAGTTCCCAATGTGATGCTTACCCAGGCATCTGAGAACTACTGTACTAAATGGCAAACTCCCAAAACTGCCTCTTCCAGCATCTGGCCCAGGGCCTGGCATTTGGTGGGAATACAATAAATGTTTGTTAAACACATTAATCCACATTTTCTGACACAATCTAGAGTTTCTTGGACCACATCATGCTATTGTAATTTAACACCATTTCTTCATGGGGGAAATCTTTACGGTTCAGAGTCTGTTTTTACTCCGAAAGCTTTGCTTCTGATGGAGCAGGGGAGGAAGGTGAGATCAGCGTGGGTACTTTCTCCAGTCTTCGGGGAGATCTTATATAAATCCACCAGGGGTCACCCCAGGGCACTAGCTGCTCCCTTTCAGAACTGGTGGCTTGAGGGGCAGGAGGAGAGAGCGTCTACCCGACTGTTGAAAGACACTGGATGCACACACCTGGACCTGCACCTGCACCTGCGGGCATCAGGCCATGGAAGGCACGAGCTCACCAGGTCCAGGGAAACCAGGATAACGAACATGGAAGATGAGAATGTGGTTATCCTCACCTGTGCTGTTGGTAGAGACACAATTCATTATCTTCTTATCCTGGAAAGAAAAGCTATTGCTCTTATGTGTAGTATTGTACCTACATATATATATTTTACAAGTAAATCACATTATAGATGGTTACTTTATATGTAACTTTTCATGTGAAGTTCTGCATGTAAGATTCCATATGAAATATTATATTAAGAAATTTTGGCATTTGTGAACAGTGTATACTACAATAACAACATACACAAACATGTTTTCCCATTTTTCAGTATATCACTGGCTAAGGGTTCTAGTTCGGCACAAAAAAATAG